TCAAAGCTTCATTTTGGTTGTGTATCTTGCAGTTACCTGTTTAGAGCATCAGAGGGGTTGTTCTTCTTGTTTGTGACTCTAATAAAATCTGACATGAAGAGTAACTTTAAAAATCTTTCTTCTTAGGTACAGCATTTCCTTCATACCATTTGCAAGGTAAGTTTCCCTACTCCCTTACTTTTTGTCACCTTGAGGTTTAATGATACAGAAGATTAGTTTATAGAAACACTGTAATTTATGGCTCTAGAAGTTTTTTCCATGGTGGTGTTTTAGGGGGAGGAAATACATGTAGTTAAACCTGAAAATGAAACTAAGCATCTGCCTAGTGGGAGAACACAAATGTAACAAAATGAGAAGGCTTCCTATAAAAAATACCTAAGTGTGCTGACCACACGCTAAACTTAAGGCTTGCCTTTGGAATGCCTAAATGCTGTTCCAAAATGCTACTGGACAAGTGTATTCTTCTGGGTACCTTTTTTCCCCTGTTCTCCCCCACGAGCGCTGTTCTGTGTTTGAGCACACAGTTCTCTATCCTGCTCCATCAGCCCCACCCTTCTTCAGTGCACCGCCTCAAGGTAGGCTTACAGGTGTCATTTCATTGCAGTTGGGCAGGTGGACGGTGAGCAGACCCGCTTGTCTCCAATGCATTCGTGTAGTCATGCGAATTATGTAAGCGCAATTAATACATGGTCAGCTGATCTTTTAAGTCCTTGGTGTCAGTGTGGTAGCAGCATGGAATGAGTCTCATCAAGCAGCATAACTGAGGTGACTCTCTTTTTTTTTTTTCTCCTGCTTGTAGGGATGCTGTGAAGAAATGTGTTTTGGTCTGTCTGTCCTAACAGGAATACTGGATGCTTCACAAAGTTCTAGGAAGTTTGGTAGAACTATGTTAAGATCACTGTGTATGTATTTTCCCACTTCTGTCTCAAACATGTGCCTTTCAGCTTGTTGTTAGAAGCTCCTTGTGTTAAATCCAGTGTATGCAATTGCTTGGTTTTGTAAGCAATGGTGTCTGTAGGACAGGGTGCTCGTGATCAAATGAAGTTCAGCCTGGCAGAAGAACTGGCCAGAGATCCAGAGTTTGTTACGATAATTCTTATGTAAAATCATGTATTTGTTGTGCAAAAGTAACAAAGTAATATGTGAAGCCTGTAAAATGGAGACTTCGACTCTGATGCCAGACTAGAGGATTTCTTTTTCTTGGAAAAAGAAATCAGTTGCCAACTGATTTCTTACTGACAACTTGTTTTTTTTAAACAGCCTTATGTCACTTAATCTTTGCACTGTTTGCCTTGGATAATGGAATATTGGTATTCTTTCTTTTCATGCCTCTCTTGCAAAATTTTAGGTTTGAGACTTCTAAAAGATTTAATTCTAAATGAAAAGACTGTTTTGGAGTAAGTATGAAATGTTTGCATCTTTAATGAAGTATTGAATTTTCAGTTTAGACAGATGTGTTTCCTTAAAATACACGAAAGGGACATTTTCACCTGGAAAAACTTCCTGTAGGAAAAGCACTTGCAAAATAAGGTTAATAGAATTTTTCAGCTGCCAGAAACATGAGTTCTTTGCCTTGCCTACAGCTAATGGCAATACATACAAGGTAGGAAACTCAAATTTTTCACATGAAGCAAGGTGCTTCTCTTCCCTCCCCGCCCCCAGCTGTAGCATAGGAGCAGTGTGAAGCTGAGGGCATGATAGGTAAGCAAAGAGAGAATTTGTGTATGTCGTTTCTCAAAGGACAAACTCTGATAAGGTGGAATTGGGCTATTGTTTAAGTAGTCTGGGCCGGGGAGAAGACATTTTCTTCTGAACTTTTGCAAGTAAGTTAAAGCTCCAACATTTCTTTTTTTTTTAAGTGGGAGCAGTTTTGTTCCTCCTAAAGCTCTTGCATACACTAGTGAACTACTTTGCTTTGAGGAGAAAGTGCAATTTTCTATTGCCTGTCTTAGCAAAGAAAGCACGTAACAATCTAGCTGCCAGCTCCAAACAAATGCTGAACAGTCAGTACCTAAATTCCAAGGCCACTCTACATTCTCTTTATCCTCTGAGCTATGTATAATCACTTACTCCCAAACCGTTGCAGTGGTCAGTTGTTTAATATCTGAGCACAGATTCCCACTTCTGCTGTGTGAGGTACCGTTTAACTGCTTTCACCTTTCCTCTTACCAAACTGTCTTGCTGGAGTCAGTGTCTATGAAGATGATTATCCAGTGGACTTCAGTATGAACTGAAGCCTCTCTTCCTTCATCTACCAAGAGTTTAGTCATTTAACAGCATTGTGTTTGCATGGCAAGTGTATCCCTGACTTGTACCGCAAGATTTTAATGTAGGAAAAACCTAGATCTACTTGGCAATAAAGTATAAGCCCACAGTGAAGCCAAATAATTCTATGGCTTCCAGAAAGCTACTAGAAACTGAATTAATTCAAAATCTTAAACTTAGGTGTCCTTCTGATAACTTATAAAGCACGGTACCATCCTCTGTTAGGATCCTCTAAAAAAAAAAAAAAGTTCCCTTTTGAGGATGGTATGAAAGGGAAATTTTAACAGGCTTTCTGTGGATTCCAGCTGGCTAGAGTTACTGTTACAAAGGCATCTGAATGGAAAATGCTGCCCTGAAAACATGGCACTGATGTTGGGATGAATCAATTATACAGGATGATGTTCAAGTGCTATGTCCTGGTCCTTTTTTTTTTTTCCCCCTAGGATTTGGAAGCTCTTGTTGAAATAACTAGGTTGACTATTACTTTTCTTGAAAGGAAGAATTAGTTAAATGCCCAAGAGAGACTGGGAATTAAAGAATACTGATACTTCTTTTCCCTGTCTGATCTAAGACAAGTATCTAAACCGACGTGTGTCTCTTTTTTTTGTCAGGGAGTAGGTTCAAAACCTAATTTACATCTGTCAAAGGACCCATGTTAGTCTTTTATTAGGACTTTGATAATGTTTACAGAATTCCTTTGTATAAGGGCAATTGAAATGCAACCCTAAATGCCTTTTACATTCCAATATTTCTTTAGTTCTAACATCTCTGGGTGTTTCTGGAAAACGCTACAAGTATAGCATACATTATTTCTCCTTCCCCTCTCCAGGAAAGTTATGTTAACTTGGATCATCATTCCAGGCTCATCAGCAGTCAACATAACGGAATTTGACTTCTGGGGTTCTTTTTTCTTTTTATGAATACTTTAGATTAGAAGGAGTAAAAGCCTTTTTCTTATTTTTTTACTAGCTTGTGCAGGATTGTGGTTCCCTGACTGTCTAGCAGTTCCTCTGGAAAAACACTAGAGTAGAGTTGTGTATGCCGAATATTTGTTTTTCAACTTGCATACTAGCTAACTGGAACCTTTTAGCTGACTGTTGTGAGCACAACCACTTAGAAATAGGAAATTACCAATAGATAGCGGGTAAACTTAAATGGATTTCCCCCCCATCCCCGCTTTTTAAAGCTGTAATTCCAGCTCCACAGCCTCTTATTCAGTAAGAGAGACGAACAAATCTTCATTTGACTGCATAGCACACGAGGCTAAGCAATCGTGCCCTTAAAGGGAGGGAACCCAAGGGGAGATGGCAAAGACACAAGGATCACCAGAGTGCCACTAGGGTTTATGTTGCCCTTTGGTGTTGTATTCTGTTCCGGTGAAGGTCAGACAGTAGGAGAGACTCACCATATTCTTGCCAACATGTGAAACATACTCAGGGTTTGTCACTTCATCTACAAGCAGTTTTGATTTAAAATAACTTTTCTCTATCAGAACAAAACTCTTCAGATTCTCACTCACTCATAAGTAGTTGTGTTCAGGCTATTGCCAAGTTTAGCAGCAAAAGATTTTTCCACTTTGTTAAAATACTTTATTTTATATGATTTTACATAATCGGGGAGTAAACTAGTATATGAATGTTCCCTCTTGACCAGTTTCAATCTGAATTAGATTATACCATTATACTTTTTTTTTTGTCATTAAAACTACTTTGTGTTAACCAAAGCTGATGATATCAAAACTTATCTGCTTGGCAGGAAGCATGGTGGGCATTTCTGAAGCCCTCTCTAGCTTTCTATCTTAATGTCTTTCAAGGCAGGAATGTTTGTTGTGTGCGCTCTACTGCAAATAGAGGTGTGTTTTAAATCACAAAGCTCCTTCCTTCCCAAAGTCCTTGCTCAGTTGCCTACAGCACTTAACTCAAGGCTGACTTCCCTAAAGAAACTTGTGTGATGTTCGGTTCCCATCTTGGTAGGATTTGGTGTTCTACCAGAAAGTGCTTTTTGCCCAGCCGCGCTGTTGGTCAACTTGCCTATCCACTTTTTTACTTTTTGCAGTACAGATAACACAACCTTAACCAAGCAGCCTTAGCATACAGTTCTAGCATGAAATGTGCATATCTGGGATCAGTGGGGAGGGTGGTAGTCATCTGTTCCCAAAGCACTGAGATTCTATACATTACAATGTGGGATTTTTTTTCTTTACTTCAGAATTTGTTTTATGTGATGAAGTCCATTGTGTATACTGGTACTATCTGAGATGGTTCTACAGTGATGATGTAAACAATTTCATCTTGTTTGGTATTTATAGTAATAAGATTGTTCATGAGCTGTTACAAAAACCAAGGAAGAAATTTCTGCACCAAGTTGAAATTCTTTTAAGAAATCATGTTTTAAAAAAGAAAGTGTGTTAGGCTTTGTGTGTGAATACTTCCTATGCAAGTTTGGGGGAGGGCGGAGACTCTGCTATGGGATGGCTTCCAGCTAGGTGCAGGGTGACAGGCTTGAATCGATCATAACTTGTGGGTAGATTGCAGCTGCGTGCAATGCATTTGGAGGCTCATGGCACTGTTGCTTACCTGCAGTCTGAAACTCGTGTTCTGGGAACTGCCTTGTGGAGCAGTGTGGGCACTTGAAGCTCATCCCTTTTTGCTGTGTGCTAAGAGATTGAAAGAGCCTCTGTTGAGTTTCTGAGAATGGTTCTTGCTTAGTTTTGGTACTTAATCATGTCGATGAAAGTAAGATCACTGTTGCTATTGTGGACTCTCAAAACTGAGGCGGAGGATGACAACGTTTAACCACGTTTGTCTTAAATACTGATGTTTACAACCATAGCAAATACTGACCATGGTAGGACAGAAAGCACAGAAATGGTATATTTTCTTAAAACCGCGTGCCTCTCTGTAATGTGACAACACTAAATTTTTTTAACAAAAAAGCTGGAATTGTTTTGTAAGATAAAAACCAAACTCTCAGAAATTCTCCACAATGTTTTATACTGTTACTCATTCTGTCTGCTGTTGTGCTTTTTCTATGTATTACACTGTTTGATTTCTACTTTGATAAACATATTTTTTCCTAACTTACAGCTTTCTCTGTAATGAAGTCTTTACTTACAAGTGCTGGGGTTTTTTTTCCCTTCAATAAAGTTGTCATTGCATTAAATTAATTTCTCTTATGGTTAATATGGAGTTTTTAATGATGCCGATTCTCCAGGTGATGCTGGAATTGCAGTGGGTTGGTTTGGTTTGTTTAAAATAAAAAAAAGTGATTGTCTCGTCCTCACTTCCTTTGCTGTGTACACAACATGTACGGCTGAGGGGAGTTTCTGTGCAGCTGCTTCACCCAGCATATGTCTAGCTCAAACAAATTCTTACCAGCATAGCTGCATGCACCTTGACAACTGGTTGGCACAACTAGAGTTGTTAAGGTGGGGATGATATTTTTATTACTTCTTACTTATTTGTTTACCTCAAGAGCCAACCTAGATGCGCCAACGAACTATTGGCTTAGTCCATGCTACAGAGCAAATAATTCCTGATGTTCTTCTATCAGCAAAGGCTAGAGTTATGAAACAGCATGCCTCTGGCTCTTCTCTGTGGAATAAATACACTCTGAATACTGATGTACACTGGAAGTAAAAAGCCAATGATTTATGAATGTGTGTTAAAGTGGAGTTAGAAGCAATGATTTTAATTTTTTTGTGGGTTTTTTTTAAACTTTCAGAAAGCATGTCCATTTAAGTTTGTGCCTAATACGCATCCGAACACTTGCTGTGGTTTTAGTATTCCTTGGCAGTGTACAGGGGCTCTGCATTGGGCTGTTCAGAGTACCTTAAACTTTCTTCTGATTGACAGGGCAAACCAAAACAGTTGCTGGTTTGGTGTCTGTCTGTCCCCCCCCCAGACTTGTGTGCTGTGGGTGACTATTAAGTTTTCAGTTACTTTTTTCTCTTTTTTTTTTTTTTTTTATCTTCTAAGCAAGCTCTGTCTCGAAGCTGACTAAACTGAAATTTCTGTCCTACAGGAAACTCCAAAGTTTTGTTTGGAATAGAAGAAGCCTGTCTTCCTGCAATATAGAAACCTAGGGGGTTGTACTTTATCTTTTTGAAAAGATTAGAGCTTCCAAGGACTGTCAGGAGAGCTTGATATATCTCTTTCATACCAAGACAGCTATGAATCTGAGTCCTAAAAGGGCAATAGATCTTTTCCATGTTTAATAGCTTAGAGCTATTTTGCTTGCCTAGTTCAACCTCCTGCATAACAACAAAGTTGTTGAACTTTGCCACATCGTTCCCATGCTGAGGTCGATCAGCTGCCCTCTAGGGAAAGTGTATTCTGTGGATGACTTTGCTCCTTAGAAATACCCGTGAAAGGGTTGATCAGTTGTGCTACAGCATCTAGTCCCCTGAATCCCATTTATAAACATTGGGAGAGAGTCATCAGCACCACATTCAAATTCAGTGACAAGACTCTTGGAAGGTTGCCGTACTCACGTCTGCCCCTTTCCCTTCTCCTTCCACAAGGTCTGATTTGCAAGAGAGGGTATTTCATGGGTGCAGGAAGTCCAAAGTTGGGGGTTGATATTTATTTCCTTCCCTTACTTGTACCTTTCCTATTGAGTCTAGTCATGGTTGCAGTATCAGTGGGGGTACAGGCTTGTAACTGCCCAGCCGTGAAGAGCTGGAGGTGCCTAAAGGGAACAAAATCCTCTGTTTTCTCACTTTTCTAAAGAAAGCTTCTGATGAATTAGAGATGGAATAATATATCTAAGCTGCCAGTCTCGGGGATTGATATTTTAAGTTAGCCTATTTGAAACCCTTTTTAGTTTTTCTTGGGCTCCCTTGTGGCACCTCTAAGAGAGGTTATTCCTGAGAGTTTGTGCTTTAAAAATCTCTGCAGAAAGAAGTGTGGAGTAATTTGAAAGTATGAACAAAATAAATGTCCAACTCATACCTGGTCCTTACATTCACATAATTTGTTCTCAGAGTACTTTGGAAACTCAAAAAGTGACAAAGTGTGAAAACAAACTATTTTATCATGGGCATATACTCCTGTGTTTTCTAGTGGTGTGTGACAGGATGTGTCAGGCTCACCGCTTCCGAGAGAATCAAATGCTTCAACTGAGTTATCTGTGCAACTTGTTAACTCTCATAGTTAACAAAAAGCTTTAACTTACGCATCCAAGTCAAAAGTGCATGTTTGATTTCCCTAATATAAACACTGAACCTATGACTTTTGTTCTGAGCTGTTGTAAATAGAATTTAAATGTTTGTTTAGAATCTCTTAAATTCTTTACTATTTTCTGATCTTAAAAATGGGGGCAGTAATAGTTTCTTGCTCTAGGTGCTAATCCATGGC